GTGGGAATGTTATGGCTTTAAGAATGTTTGATATCCACGTTAACGTCTGTAAGCGTAAAATCGGCATCCACAAACACGTCAGTCATTTACACATATAGGGCGAACTTGAGGGTGCGTTTTACCAACAGAATTCTCACGCGAAATCTGCTGTAATCATACATGCTTGAGGTTAAGATTTCACGCGGCCAGTACAACACTCTTGTCCCAGCCGACGCCCCATTCTCCTTTACATTCAAGGGAAAGCAAAAACGCTCCTATATATATGCACATGTTAAACTGGAAAGCAACAACCATTCATACTGTTAACGATCTAACTGCTTCAGTATTCCAGTAAAAACGCATGGTAGAACTGATAAACTTGTGGCATAACTACTCCTGATTCTACTGGGTATCGTTTTACAGGATAATACAACGCTGTCACAGAACAAACAGTGCTCCTAGATCGGAACTTCATGTAACCAGACCGAGAATTCTAGGATCACACACCTTTTTCACTTTATTCCTCCCTCTTCCCCTTCCCCTCTTTTGCTCCCTCCCCTCCTCCTCTGTCGCCAAAGCTCCGCCCCCTTCCTGTATCGTATTTTACCGTATCAGCAATCGGTAGATTTGGCTTCACAGTAGGCCATTCTTCGATGTTCGTTGTAGGACTTTGGTCAATGGGCATTGGCGGGAGCCTTCTCTTTTGAACATTCTTTTCGTATACATACAAGTGGCTGCGAAGCGTGCGGTTTGCTGCGGTTTTGCGTCTTGATAAGTTTGGAGATGGGGGTGGGGAGTGGGGGAGGAGGGCGGGGTTCGATTTACGAGGGGACAGGGCGAAAATCGTGGTTCCCCTGAAGACAGGCCTGAAGTTCGATTTTTATTCCGAAACAGGGCAGGGGTTCGGCCTACTGGGAGGTGGGGTAGATGCCTCGGTTTTGCCGCCGAAAACGTGAGATTTTCTGCTTTGCCAAGAAAGTGGGCGGTGCGATGGATCATTGTACCGGCAGCAAAATCGAGG